GAAAAGGATTGGCTTGCTAGCACCACTGTCACAGACTAGCTAGCTTAATTAACAAAAAATTATTTTCTCACCATTCTGGAGGCTGGAAGTCCAAAGTCAAGAGGTCACTGGGGCTGGTATTTTCGAGGGCCTTTTTCCTGGGTCTCTTTATGTCTGTCTGTGTCCTGCTCACCTCTTCCTGTGAACATCAGTCCTATTGATTAGGACCCACTGACATGACCTCGTTTTACCTCAGTTACTTTTTTGAAGATGCTGTCCCCAAGCACATGTCCCATCCAAAGGTACTGGTGGTTAGGACTTAAACGTAGGAATTGTGGAAGGACCCAATTCAATCTTCCGCTTGAACTCTAGTATGGTTTAATCTAGGAATCTGGTTTCAAATGCTTTTTAGTCAGAATTAAGAAGAAATTTTTTTTTTACTCTATTCTAGGAATGCTGAGATCATGGTTTGATGCTGGTCTTATTCATGGTCCTTTATTAACTTCGTTCCTTTCTTCTGGAAAATTCTAGGATTTTCTCTTGAATTTCATGAAAATTTTCTCAGGGTCTTTCAAAATTTATTTTGCTTAACAGAAGGTCATTTCAATCTGAAAACTTACATTTTTTTCAGTTCTGGAAAGTTAAATATTTTTCATTAATTCTTGCTTCTGGGTAGATTCCATAATTATAACTTCTTTGTTGTTTTCTGTTTATTTAAGAATTTCATAGCTTGATCTCATATGGAACTAATTTGAATGTTATCCAAGTGCATTCGGCTACTCATCTACTTATTTTCTAATAATTTCATTTATAATTGCTTTATGACATACCATCGTGGATCTCTCTGAGGATATTAATTATATTATTTCAGGGGAAGGTCTTCTTTTGTTTGCTTGAGCATTAGTTTTATTTCCTTGAGGATCAACTTTTTTTTGTTGAGTTTGGTGTTTCTCCTTCAAGGAGCTGTTTCCTTCTCATGGATTTGGAATTCTTGGTTATATGTTTATTATTTTATTGGGTAATTCCTGCTTACCTCTTGGCATCATTGTGTTGATGGAGTTTCCCGCAGCAGTTATGGTGGGGGTGACAGGGCTGGGGTGTGTGTATGTGTGTCTTTTTTTCTTTTCTTTCTCTCTCTTTCCTTTTTTTTTTTTTTTTTTTTTTTTGGAAGGGACTACAAAGTGTTCAGGGTCTCACTACCAGATCGGACTCCTAGTGATCCACCTGTTTACAGCCTCCCAAGAGCTGAGATTACAGGCACATACCACCAGGCCCAGTCTCAATTGCTGTCTCAGTGAGCCCCGGGGGTGGGGCTGGCACAGCATAGAAGGCATTTATTAATCATTGCCCTGATGACACTCAGGGCCCTGCCTGTGTTCAGACACTGACCCGAAGTTCATAAGGTCCTCCCTCCACACAGCGCTCAGCTGCACACATTCCTTCTTCTTGCTCTGCAAATCCAGGTCTTCCTGCTTTCTGGATGCCTGGGATGCTTCTCGCCTGCTTTACAGGCAGCCTTCTTGTTATTGTTGTTCCTTGGTGCTATCTCTGATTTATATTCTAGTAAACCTCTTACTGGAGTCCCGTGGTCCACCGACAGCCTCTAGGTCCCACTAATGTAGTAGGCAATGACTGCACGTGGTTACTTCAATGGAAATTATTTAAAGTGAAATAAAATTTTACAATTTAGTTTCTCAGTCCATGTAGTCCAGTGCTTAGCGGCCATCTGTGTCTGGCACCTCCATAGTGGACAATGCAGGCACAGAAGGGCCTATTGGACAACACTGCTCCAGAGCTTCTTAGCCTGAAAAATAAATCCCCCAGCCCCTTTTGGCAGACAATGAGGAAAAGACAATATCAAGCATTTGTTGAACACGCAGCAGGGTACTCACTGGATGCCAGCCGAACGTTCCTCCAGTGGTTAGGGAATGTAATGGTGGGACTTGAACTCACTGTTCCTGTCTCAGGCTTCCTCTAGAATAGCTATAAATTAGCAAAGCACAAGTAAGACTAGGCTATGGAGCAGGCCGGGTGTGAGGTGGCACAAGGAGGGCCATGTGAAATCACAGGCCTTAGAATGTTACCTTATCCTCCAAAGCAGAAAGAAAATGGAACCAAATTGTGGCTATTATTTATTTAAAACTCTCGATAGTGTTGTCAGGGAGGCATTATTATTGTGTGGGTGAGGAATGAGATAAATGCAGACTCAGGAAAGTGAAGCGAGCGCCTCGGGCCACCTAGCTGAAGCCGCGCTGCGCTGACGGCAATGCTAGGACTGGGATCGGCAGCTGCCTTCCTTCATTCCCTAGAAAAACTAA